TTTTGATTACACAAAAACATTTACCTTTCTCAGATCGATTTTTCTTAAGTTTACCCTCAAAAAAACCCCAGTGAGTTTCTTTTGAACCAAAATTCCATTGAACTTACAGATAAAAAAATTTTATTTTTAAAATATTGAGATGTCATTTAGTAATAAGCAAATATATAAAGTCACCTATACAACACACAAATGCATGTATACAATCTTCATTTGACTGTGACTGATACTCTGGCCCCATACGAATGAAATTTCCTTATTTGTAAGATAACACTGCCATTCCTAAATCACAAAATCTTTGAGCTAGAGGAATATTACAGATCACTTAGTCCAACACCTCTTGTAAGCCCAGTTATATTTACCTCAAGCCTACTTGAGAATCATTTCAAAATTAAAATTAATGTACCTTTTACATGTCACATAATCATAAAAGTACCACTTGGATCACACACAAGGCAATGAAGTGGGCTACATTTACTGAAGACTGCTTTCAATTTCGGAATCCTTTTAGAACAAGATCATACTCAGCTCAAAGAAGAAAAGAGTACCATAAGTACATACACTTGCAACAGCTCCAAATACTTTTTCAAGATACTCACATTTCTAAGATAAGTCTTTTTTGTTACTGTGTCCAGGAACTAAACTTAATAGTACCACATCATTCCATTCCCAATTGTTCCATCATATTAATTAAGAATACAAATCCAACAATTTCTAAATGGAATAAGCTGAAGCAACTCCAAAGTATTTCTCAAGACTGGCTGCCCATATAATCACCTGTGGAGCTTTTAGAAATATGCTTGCGTGGATCCCACCCTGCGACCTTCAGTATATTCTTTTTCTCTTTTAAACCTATAGTAGATTCTATTCTCAGCCAGAGTTAAGGACCACTATTCTAAAAGATTCAACAAGAACAAAGGCCCTTAATATGTGTAATATCCCTATACATTGTCGGGGGAGGGAGGGCGGGGGAAGTGAAGGAGTAAAGACAAAGCATCTTCACCAGCCTAGAAACATCTGCTGCTGATTCACTGAGTTCTGTCCCTACATTATGCTAGTCTTAAAACAGAAAAAATGGGGAAGGGGGGGCCTGGATGGCACAGTCATTTAACCATTTGACTCCTGGTTTTGGCTCAAGTCATGATCTCAGGGTTATGAGATCAGGCCCTGTGTAGGGGGTCCATGCTCAGTGAGGAGTTTACTGAAGTTTCTCTCTCCCTCACCCTCTGCCCCACCCTGTGCACCCTCCCTTCCTGTCCCCCCCCCAACAAATAAACAAATAAATCTTGAAGAAAATAAAAATTTGGGGAAAATAAAGCTTTTGACTATTCGTAGATTTGATGGGGCGATTACGACATGTGAAACGCCTTTTTCTTTCTTCTCCCTTGAAGGCAACTCTCCACCCCACAGTATCTTCCAAAAGAAAGGATGACTGATGTTCACTTTAAGAAAGCTAATACTATTAAGATTTTATATAAATTCCTCTTCCACTTTGTGAAATAGAAGGGCTTAAATACACCCATAAAAATAAATAGAGAGATTGATGATCTGGCTGGGGTATCATGACATGAGATGAAATTTCAGTCAAAGAGCTGTTGCTTTGTGACTACAAAGAACTGCCAACACACACTGGCCACCCTCTGAAGTTAGCAGAGAAGCAAAGAAAGGCCAATACACTGAAGAAACAAACTTATAACAATGCAAATATGCAAACGGAATCAAACTGTTTCTAAGGTCTAACCCTCCAAGAAAATGATCACACTTTCTAATAACAACACTTTCACTAAACCGAAGTCTTGGTGTGACTCATATTCCTGTTATGAGTGACTCATATACCTTCTATCCCTGGGAAAAGCACCTGAAAAATAAAGCTACACTGTAAGCTACATGCTAAGTAATTAGTAAGGGCAAAGCATGCATTAAATAGACCTTAATCACACACTAATATTCTACAAAAGGAGGTTCATGAAACCAAATCATCCTACAACTATTCTTCCATGCTCCAATTCTGGCCTAGCCAAAAATATTGTCTTATATTCTGTAAACTCATTTGGTAAACAGCTATCAAATATGCTCCATCTCATCACGAAAGGCACCACACAGAGAAGCTTACCACCTTACTATCAAGGAAAACTAAATTCTCTTAAATAAGCACTGAGATTTGTCCAAGCAAGAGTCAGGTAACTTTACTTTAAAAAAAAGGGGGGGGGGGAATGTGAAGAGACAGGTACTTGTGGTTTAGTGGAATCAGTTTTAACCAAATACAACTTTCCCAATGTCTTTTCTTTAGAAATGTGGCCCAAATCAGCGATATAATTCCTAGGCCTTAACCTTTCTGTCACATGACCATGAAATAACAAAATTTAAGTAGCAAATATAGTTATGGGAACAACTGTAATCCAAAAAATTTTGCAGTAAAAACTGAGAGGACATATGGTTATACACACTGATAAATAACTGTTTGCCAAGAGATTAAAAAACAAAAACAAAGATAAAAACCTTTCTCTAAAGCATTTCATATGAATGATCTGCATGTAGCCCCATGCCTAACAGGTAGTAAAAGACAGACCGGACCCTGCTCCTGGAATATTTCAAGCAAAACCAGCTTTCTAAAAAAAATTTGAAATAAATAAAATCCTTCTTCAGCTAACATTTCTTTTGAAGTATAGCTATGTTAGAATAACTTAACTGAATTCACATACCTTTGAATACTCCATACTTTCAAAACTTTATGAAATATTTAGACATATATTTTAATCTTGAAAAACAATTTAAACATACTAAAACCACAGGCATCTCTTAAAAATATATTTGTATACCACTACAAATCTTGAAAGGTCAATGAAGATCTGGGAAATAAATGCACTACCCAATTTTAAACAACTATAAAACCTAAATTTACACTTAAAGTGTACTTTTCAGTTTGTTCCAAAATCTAGACTTCTTACTTTGCCCAAATACAATTAAGATTGAGGTCAGTGGGGGAAAACTGCTCTGCCTAAAAAATCTGTGAAACCGAATTCCATCTCATTATGTCCAAAAAGCTTATTACTAATAAATATCTAGGATGGATTACATTAGAAACAATTCTCTCAGGAAATTTAACCTGACAAGAAGATTCTGACTGCCTACACTTAGGAGTCAAAGACAGGGAGAGATACAAGATTTTGGCTTGTTTAGAAGAAACCTAGTTACTAAATATATGCTGTTAAATTTTACTAGTCTTTCAAAATCTTTCTCTTCCCCATTCTTCTTGTTCCTCTCCCCCTTCATTCTTTTGCATCTTACCCACCTGCAAGAAATCAAAAAAAGTATCCCCAGTATCAAACACACTACCTTTTATTCAATACGGATTTGGGAGTTCAGGGATGTTTTTAGATTTAGATTTCAAATTCAAAACAAGTTTCAAAATTTTACTTAACCCCAAGCTACCCTCACAACTGCCAAAAGTTAATAAATCATTTTTTCCCTATTTTATCTCCCTAGCCCCTTCTTATAAACTTAGCAGGAAACCAATTATTTGCAGACAAATACAGGTGGGGTGGGGGGAGGCTGCTCAGTTAAGTCCAGGAAGACCAATACACAAACCTGGGAGCACCAGGAAAATCAAGAACCACTCATTCGACCCCCATCCTGAATTTGCATACAAATTCTATAGGACAAACTTCTTGCATTCACTCTCATGATCTGACTTAATTCAATCCCATGCATTCGGAAACATTTTTATTTAAAACTGTGAAGAGAGATCTGGACAAACAATTTAAAACACAATGAACTTTTACTTCAGTTAACCTAAGTACATCTCAGTTAACTGAAATGCATAGCACCTAAAATCTCCTGGTAGGTGCAGAACTCTGGGCAGTCTAGGCAAAATGTCTTCTCACAGAGGCAATGTACCTGAAGAGCTCTGTGTTATTTATCTTCAGTTAAGATTTTTTTCTCTTGCAAATGTTTACTTACAAACTCAGTTTCCAGAATACACTCAAGCTGGTTTAAGTTGGAGGGCACAGATGTACCAAGATTTTAACCGGATCATCTCCCTAGTTTAGCCAGTTAAGGTTAGTTGCCACAAGAACATTTGCAAGTGGTTTTTGAGGGACTTACCAGGGGAAATTTACAAAAGAGAAAAGGGCTGCAGGGCCAAGCTTGGGGCTTGTGTAAACATAAATCACCTATGCACTGACCTGGCTACCTAAAACAATGTTCCTCCAGAATAGGTGTCCAGGTGGCGGACTGACTTTCTGGAGGTGAGAGTTAAAAACAAACGCTTACATCTACCATATAGTACACAATTTTACCTGTCACCAAGAAAAGGGCACGTCTAATCCACACACCAAAAAAAAAAAAAAAAAAAAAAAAGTCCTTTTTCCTTCAAGGAAGGAAGCGGCTTGGAGTCATTTGCAGGGGATGGGATTGCAGGAAGGGGGGAGGAGGCGTGGAATAAAGGAGTGCTAAAAGGAGAGGCAGGGCCCCACACAGGCCACTGCGGAGAGAAGACGGGGGAAGAGGGGAAGATGTCTCACCGGGGGACAAAACCGAGTGCAAAACCGGCTGGAAGAAGGAAGGTTCCCCCCCCACACACACCGAAGACGAGCTGGGGTGCAGATAAAAAGCGCTAAAACGGCTGGTTACCTTGGGATACAGGGGAAAGGGACAACGGGAATACAAAGGTCTACAGAGATGTGAGTAAAGGGAAGGTTGAGGCAGGGTCTCGGGTAAGTGCGAACCAGGGAAGAAGACAGACAAACAGCGGGATTGGGGCCTCCCAGGACCAAAAGGCGTGGCCAGGGATCCAGATCAAACGATGGTCTTTTTGAGACGCCAGGGAAAGTGCGCGGCAAACCCCTCCTTCAAGACCCTGGGCCAGACCCGTCCGAGGGGCCCAACTGCGAGGCACCTCGAGGGCGGAACGCACTCGGAGGTCTCTGGCCTCGCCCGCGGGGCCCTCAGCAGAGCGGCAGCCCAGGCCCCCGCCCCCGCCCCCACCCCCGCAGTGCTCTTACCTCCACACCTGCCCCATCTGCAGCAGGTGGATGACCGACTGCCAGATCCACACGGAGAGGCGGCACAGGCGCTGCGCCCCCGGCGTAGCCGAGCCCTCCGCGCCCGGGCCGCCGCGGGCGGCGCCGTGGCCGTAGCCGGCCCCCATCATGGGGGGGCCCCGGCTGCTGAGCCCCTCCACGGCGCCCAGCCCGCCGCCCGTGTAGTCCTGCACGAACCAGCGGAAGCTCAGGCTCTGCACCAGCAGCGACGGCACCAACACGAAGAAGAGGGTCAGCCCGAAGAAGCCGTAGTCCCCCTTGCGGTAGTAGTCGAGGGCCAGCCACAGGTCGGTGCCCACGTCCCCGAAGAAGACCAGCAGCGCCAGCACGATCCACAGGCAGTCGAGCCACGGCCGCTCCACCTGCGGCGGCGGCGGTTGCGGCCGAGTGGCAGGCGTCGGGGGTTGTTGGTCTGCGCCGGCGGCCGCGGGCGGCTGCAGCGGCTGGTCCCCCCCGTCGGCGGCGGCGGCGCTGCGGCGCGGCTTCTTGCCCAGGAGGGAGCGCAGGCAGGCGGAGCGGCAGCCCCAGTAGCACGAGGAGGTGTTGCAGCAGTGGCAGATGTGCAGCGAGCTGCTCTCGCCGGGCTCGCTGCCGTCTCCGCCGCCGCCGCAGCCGCCTCCCCCGGGCTCCCCGTCCTCCTCGCCGCCGCTGCCCACCGCCTCGTCCAGGTTGTGCAGCTGGGCGAAGCCCACCCCCACGCCACCGCCATCGGATTTCGCCGCCATCTTGACTCTCTTCCCAGCTGCGGGGGGGGGGGGGGGGGGGGGGGGGGGGGGGGGGAAGAAGGCAGGGAACGGGGAGGGGGGGAAACGAATGGAGAGTAAGGGGGGCGGGGAGGAAGCGGGGGAGCAAACGAACGAGGGGGGAGTGGGCCAGGGAACCCCCTCCGCTTCCGGGTAGTTGGCGTCACTTCCGGGCGAGCCCCCCAATCGCACGGCGCCCGCAGCTCCCCAGCCCTACCCTCCCGGCCAAGATGGCCGCCCTCCTGTGCCTCAGCTGCTGGGCGGGGGACCGGGGGGTTCTCCCCGCCAGGGCTCCCCTTCCCCTCTTCCGTTGACCCCGAAACCCATCAGGTTGACCCCTCGGCGTTTCTGAATCCCGCTGGGCCGAGTGATGCGGTCCAAAGTGATCCCTGGAGGGGGCAGTGCCAGACGTTTTGGGGTCCCCTTCCTCAGCGTCGCAGCTCACAGCTTTCCTCCTGGAGAAACGCCCCCTAACACTCTCCCGGCTGCTGGCGGAGGGGCGGGACCTCTGAGGGAAGGGGCGGAGCTAGTGCAAAGCAGGTGATTACGTGTCACTTCCGGGAGATAGGATGACCTCATTGAGTAGTTAGGCACCCCCCCCCTTCAAAATGGCTGTGTCTCACCTCTTTGGTTGTTTGGGTGGTTTTTTTTTTTTCCTTTCAAAATTCTCTCTTACTCTTTTCTTATTTGGGGGGGTCTTGAGAAATTACATAAGTCAGTTTAGAGTCCCACATACAACTTACTGATGCTCACTTTTATTTAGACACCTCCCTCCTCTGTTGACCCCCTGATTTTCTTGTCAATGACAACCTTACCATCCTTAGTAATAAAGTTTCCGTCGTTCTCTTAAGAAAACTCCAAAGTCCATTTAAAAGTCAGCCTATTGTGTCTTGAACATTGGAGCAAAGATTGAATTGGCATTAGTGACCTTGAATATTTTCTTCATCACTGGAATGTATTCTACCAACTTTTTTTAAGTATGTGATTTTAAAATTATGTGACCTTAATTTCTAAAATTCAGAGCTAGCCAGGGTTTAAGCTGTATCAATTACTTTTTCAAGTTATTTGAATGTGTGAAGACTGACTTTTAGAATTTTTTTGGTGCCAAAGCTTTATCAGTAAACATGGCTTTAAATGAGTGAAAATGTTATCAATGTGCGATATCATTAAAACAGGTGCAAGGTACACTACTTAATCTTAACAAATTACGAAAGGGAAGCACCACTGAGTGGATTTGAATTACAGTGATCTTCTAGTGAAAGTATACTTGAAACCAGACAAAGCAAACTACATGGTTACAGTTGTTACTGATCAAGTGAAAGAGACATTTTGAAGTTAAAAATAGAAGAAAGTTTTAAACCCTGAATTCTCTCCTGACCTCACCAGATTTTCATACTAATTTTTCCGATTCTATCTACTCTTCTCTTTGGTAAAACCTAAGAATACCATTATTTTCTTTGGAATGTTGAGGACAAACTAGGTAATATTTGCACTGAAGTTCTGTGGAAGAAAGGTGTCTTTGCAATTTTCAGTATTATTTTGAGGCATATGGTATTTAACACTATAGCACCTAGTTAATTGGGGGTGGCAGGACAAACAAGGATTCCATATTTTAGGATACAGCTTTTCATGAGTATTTATGTTAAGGTAAACCCTATGAAGACTTTACAAAAAGTACTCATGGAGAATTTTTACCCTAGCCATTGGGGAGAGCGATAGGGAGAAAGGGAAAGAAGTAGTTACAAAATATACTTTTGAAAACAAGTCACATAACTGTAACTTTATTTCATTTTATGATTTAAGCCCCTTTGTTCCTATGGTAGTAAAACTTACAGCCAGCAGGTAAGGATACTTCCTCATATAGGTGCCATTCTATTTCTTTACAGAATTTGAATTAATAATATTTTAGAAAGATGGATTAAGTGTAGATTAGGACTGTCTAAGTCTGGGTCCCAGTTCCACAATAATAATAATAATAATGTGAATGATAAAAAGGAAACCACAGGCCCAAAATGGCATCATTCAGTCACCAAAGCAGGGCTTAATATCTCATTGCAGTTTCAACCTCCCGCAGAAATGTAGTCTTAACCAGTTAATCAAAAATTTTCTGAGCAACACCAATAAAGTAATTTGTCATATGGACTTCCCCATCCCCCAAAGGAGGATGTGGTAATCTACCTAATAAGAACCCCTGCCCTTGCAGCTAAGGCAAAGTGACGTTGCCTGGTACAAATCTCTTTTCTTTTGCCAGTAATTTCCTTGCCCATCTTCCTTCCTATAAAAACCTTCCATTCTATAGAACCCCTTGGAGCTCCCTTCTACTTGCTAGATGAGCTGCTTCCCAATTCATGAATCATTTAATAAAACCAGTTAGATCTTTGCATTTATATGGTTGAATTTTTGTTCTTTAACATGAATGTGAGCAGGATAACCTCCTTAAGCCTCAGCTTCCACCATTGTATGATGGAAATAATAACATGCCTTCTCTGAAAAGTGGTTGGGGTGGATTAAAAGCGGGAATCCATTTGAAACTCTCAACATGATACCTGATAGGTAGTAAATACTAAATAAATGATAACTGATATTTTTATTATTATTGCTGTCATAATTATGTTTGCATAGTACCAACCTACAGTTACTTAAATTCTGTCATTCAGTAGATTTGGTAACTAATAAATGTAGGTTTTTTAAAAAAGAAAAACTCGGGGCGCCTGTGTGGCTCAGTGGGTTAAGCCTCTGCCTTCGGCTCAGGTCATGATCTCAGGGTCCTGGGATCGAGTTCCGCATCGGGCTCTCTGCTCAGCGGAGAACCTGCTTCCTCCTCTATCTCTCTCTCTGCCTGCCTCTCTGCCTGCTTGTGATCTCTCTCTGTGAAATAAATAAATAAAATCTTTAAAAAATAAAATAAAAATAAAAAAATAAAAAAGAAATAAAAAAAAAGAAAAACTCTTAGGAAACAAGTACAATTAATTTGTGTTTTCAAGTATATTTTCTCTGTTTAAGCGTGTGAGCCTATGAAATGAGATACAAAAGCAGGCAGCAATGATATATTTATGATTCTATTTCTCTGTGCCCTGAAAGAACATAATCTACTAGTGAAATTAGCTAAGTAAATTATACTCACTGTATAAAGCTGACAAGTGAGACTGAATCAAAAGGGTTTATCACAATTGAAATTTCAAGTAGATATATAAGATTTGCAGGCTATCAAGTGATTTCAACTTTACATTTGCTGTTTGAACAATTTTATCATTCTGACTTCTGTGGAAGGGATACATTGTGAAACCCAGAAGATTCTAAAATTAAAAACAGTTACAATGATAATAAAGCTATCATGAAGACTCAATGAAAGGCTCACATAAATTTGGACTGTTCTATGAATAAAATTTTTTTTGACCCAGAATTTTGGGGCAGTTAGGCATACCAAATAAGTCCAGAGCTTAGCAACATGCTGAACACATAGTGAGCACTCAATAAATTTTGGTCAAATAGGGGAATTGAATTAATTTTTGATATAACTGAAATTTACCCTTTCAAATGCCCTCCCCCCCAAAAATTGCATTTTACATTTGATAATGCAAATCTTTATAAAACCAATGATATATTACAGAGATACCTTGATTCTTTAGTAAACAGGGAAGAAATTAATAAAAAGAAAATCACTGACCACTGGATTGCTTTCTTAAGAGCACACTAGTTAACCTTTTCTTAATGACTTGGCCTTAATGTAGCCTTATGCTAAGAAGTTCTGTCTATCCATGAGCCTACTAAGGAGCCACCCCAGGCCTACTGGATACTTTTGTTATTGTTGTTTCTAAATAACATTTTTTTTTAACTTCTGTTTTTTTGTAGTTCAGTCAGTTAACAACTTTGGCTCCTTTTACCTCCACTTTGACATAGGCTGGGAAGTCAAACTACAAAGCATGTTTGAATTACATTTAGTGTAAGAGTAAATGAATTTTTAGAGCTTCTTCTATGAGTAAAGTAAACAGATTTAATATATGGAAATTATGGCACATAGTTTCAGGTTAAGAGAGACCTTTGTGGTGTTTCTTCCCAATTCTCTGCTACTTTCAGAAAGGCAAAAGGGAGATTTAGTGTTAAATGCTATTATATATTGGACACCATCCCAAACTTCATTCCAGTTAATCTTACAACAGTCCACAAAGGCATGGGGACTAGTATCCCCATTTTAATAGCTGGAAAACAGCCTCCAGTCACCCAAATGACTAACCCAGAGTCACACCCATAGGAGGTAAGGGGGCTATGAATTAGAATCTAAGCTGGCCTAATTCCAAAGCCTAAACCACTTACCCTTCCATTGTCCTGGGCCAGGCAGCTATTGGCCTCTTGAAATGAAGTCAGTCTTACTGTTCTCGTCACTAGAGGGGCCCCGTTATGATGCTGATATACGCAGGGAGGCAGAATACTTGAGTTACAGCATGGAGATTTGCCCCCAAAAAAGCATAATGAAGGGGCTTTCTCATACATTCTTCACCAGGTTTTTTAATTTGAGCCTCCATAAAGTCTCAAAACCAGCAGGTGGATGTTATCCTTATCAATTTTATTCCTTGTGTCTATAGTCTTTATAGAAATAGGACTTCTTTGAGCACAGTGGAGTAAGCTCATGCAACCCATTATCCCTAAAAGCTCCACTTCTATATTTGATTTTAAGAATTGCAATTTGAGCGAGCACTTTCATACATTCATGCTGGTGTTACAAAATGGTACAATATCTATGGAAGGGAATATAGCACAATCTATCAAAATTACAAATCAAATCATCCTCGGAGACAGCAGACCCTCTTATGGGAAGTTATCCTACAGATAAATATGCACATGTCAGAAATTACATGTGGACAAGGTTATACATGTAGCATTGATTTGTTTATAATAGGAAGAAAAATGAGGAGAAAAAAGACCCAGGTATCAGTCCAAAGGAATACTAGCTAACTAAATTGTGGCACATCCACTTGACAAAAT